GTAAAGTGGCTTCAATATGAAATATGAACAATTGCTTGTTCAAATCTTCTTCAAGGGCTTTTATTTTATTTAATTCTTTTTACACAGCTTACCAGGAACACCTGGACTACTCCACTTGTGTCTCATATATAATTTATTTTTGTGTCAATTTTATACACCCTTGAAATAGGACAATAGCTGCTACTGATATAATTATAGGTTTGGGTTCCAAGGAAATCTGTATGTCTGTGACACACTTCAAGAGTGTCATATCACATTAGAACTAAATCTGCTTCCTACAGAAAGTTCTCCAAATTCACATGGTATTAAGCTTGCAGTAAGGATTTCTGAGTCACCATTTATCAGCACTACTGTCTTTTTTCAGCCAATAATGCTGTAAATTCCTGCTTGCAAACAGAATGTGAATTGATTTGGAGAAGTGTTTAAGCTTACAAACACACTAGTGTTACATCAAGCCTGGGATAAAGAAATTTTTTATGTACCATAATGAAAAGAACTCCTCAAAAGTTCTCTCTAATGTTTTCAAATTATGTCCTCTGGCTTCAGGTAGGGATCATTTTTTTTTGCACAGGGGGTATCAAAAAGTGCCACCTAATAGCTATGCTATACGTACAAATTAAAGCTGGATTGCAACCAACTATAAAGTTAATACACATTTTCCAGCTCTAACTTTATAGCTGGGTGGACCTTTTTATGGTGTAATAGTTAATTTGCATCTGTAGCCAGTCTAATAAACTGTGCAGTTAACCCAGTAATCACATGATATATGTAACATGTAGAGGGGACCTAAGTGATATAAGTGCTTCCATCATACTAAGTTGAACCAGAACCAAAAGTATCCTTCTCCCCCATAGAGTAAAAATCCTCCCCTTGTGGCTGAGTACGGCTTAATAGCCCAGATCTGATCCTCCATTACATCAGGGGGAATCAAGGAAGTGACTGAAATTCTGATTCCACTAAAGTCAATAGCAGAAGCCACATCACAGTAGTGACATTGCAAGAAAGGAAAGTGGGATCTTAATAGGTTTCTATTATGCTCTGCTTAGTTTATTACACTGTGGCATCTGGCACCGTGGTATCCAAGTATGGATAGAGGAATTCTAGACCTTCTCCTCATACCAGTGAACTGCAAACAAAATCCTTTGGGTACCCTTCAAGGCAGTGAGTGGTTTCACTACTAGCACCTAGTGCTCTCTGGAAATTAAGAAGTCAGAACTGCATGCAGGACTCTGAAAATACAGGATTTGTAGACTTCAGCTTCTATCACGGACTTTGTTTTCTTTGGCCCTACCAAACTCAGTAGTTCCAGGCTGTACTTAGATGGGCAATCACCTGGAAGAGGAAGGAGCTAAGGGCCAGAACTGCTACTTAATGCACTTCACAGTCATCACTAAATCAGTGATGCAGCCTGGTGCCAGAAGCCCCCTTTAACACGAGATGAGAAGAGACCTAAAACCCTCATTGCTTATGACCACGGATCCTGGTTTTCTCTGATTAAAAAAAAAAAAAAATTGCAAATTCTCTGATTTAAAAACCCCACAAATTATGTGATAAAAAACCCCAAATTTGCAATTAAATTGAAATGCCACTATATACATAGGTGTTAACTAAGCACAATATTTTATTGGTATAGTTACACTTTTAAAGCAATTTGGAAACCTACCAGCTCCTCAATCACTATAATGAAATAAATTCTAAGTACCTATAAATCTTCGTCTTTGATTTGAGGTTTACTATGAAAAAATATGAGCACCCCTTGCCCCTTTAACTCACAGAACATAGGTACAGGCCCCTCACTCCCAAGCCACTGCCCCCTGGCCCTGCTGGTTCCCCTCACTCTCCCTTCACCCCCCACTACAACCCCCCAACCCTGCTGGTACCCCTCATTCCCCCCCTGGCCCTGCTGGTGTACCTCACTCCCCACCCACAGGCCCCCCAGCTCTGCTGATGTACCCACAGCCTCCTTTCCCCCAGCCCTTCCAGAGGGGGCCTCCAGCTGCCAGGGCTATGGGGCTTGGGACCCGGGTCCACAGCCAGCGACCAATCCCTGGCTGCTACCCAGGGGAGGCAGTGGCTGCTGCAGTGTACCAGAGCATGGAGCCTGGCTACCCATCTCCCATAAGCACCACAGCTGGAGCAGAGCCTGTGTGTGTGGTGGGGTGGGGGGGGGGGGGGGGGGGGGGGGTGTGCAGCTAGCTTCTGCAGGCTTGGGCAGGGAGGGGCCAGCTCCTCTCTGATGTGCACACTCTCAGGGCTCCCGGGGGGGCCCTGTGCCCCCCAGATCTACATGTAGGGTGGGGGTGGGAGCAGGAGCAGGCTGCCTGCTGTGGGCTCAGGCTTCCGGACCTCCTACCCCTCCCCCGGGAGCTCAGTGGCCTGGCAGAATGGGGCCAGACAGGGAAGCTCCTTCCATACTGGGTCACACCTGCTGGGCTGCAGAGAGCCTAGGGGAGGGCAGCAGGGCAGGGAGCCTGAGCCTGCCTCAGGCAGCCCACACCTGCATGTGCCCTCATCCTGTGCACAGCTCTGGGTGGCACAGTTCCTCCCTGCCCCCCTAGAAGTGTACAGAGCAGTGGAGAGCCAGCCCTTCCCACCACCTATCCCCTGGATGAGCCACTCATGGCCCTGTCCTGTTTCATGCTGGGGCCCTGCGGTTGCATGTTCCAGCCTTGGACCCCACGCACAGCCCCGCTGAGCAGCAGTTTCAGCTTTGCCCAACTCCCTCCTTCCCTATGAAGGCTCAATTCCTCCCCCCCAACCAGACTTACCTGCAGAAGCAGCTCTCCAGGCTGCCTAGCAGCCATTTGCATATACATGCACACAGTGCCCCTTGCCTGACTGCCCTCCTCCCACTCTCCCCAGCACCTTGCAGGCTGGAACTCTGCCAGCCTTCAGAGAGTTCTTTGCAAAAATGCAATATCTGCATGTTTCTCCATTAAAATGAGAAATCCATGGTTTTTTCCATGGGAAACAGAAAACCTGGATCCCTTTTTATGATGCATAAAAAAATATATATATATATCACACATTCTTTTCACAAGAAGAGTAAGGATGTTGGCAACAAGGCTCTGCTTTGGTTCCAACTTCATAAGTTCTTGTGGCCCAACTAGATTTCTTCTGTACATCAGCCGACTAGGATGTGCACTGCATATTATTCCTGTGCATCCGTTAAAGGCTGCTACATGTTGGACCACAGGATTGGAAGGTACCACTTGTAAGCCAACAGTGTGCCTTTGTTGCCAAGAAGGCTAATGGCATCCTGGGCTGCGTTTGTAGGAGTATTGCCAGCAGATTAAGGGAAGTAATTATTGCCATCTATTCAGCACTGGTGAGACCACATCTGGAGTACTGTGTCCAGTTTTGCTCACCCCCGCTCCCAAGAAACAGCATGGACAAATTGGAGGGAGTCCAGCGGAGGACAACAAAAATGGTTAGAGGCTAGGGGACATGACTTATGAGGAGAGGCTGAGGGAACTGGGCTTATTTAATCTGTAGAAGAGAAGACTGAGGGGGGATTTGATAGCCTTTGACTACCTGATGCAGGGCTCCAAAGTGAATAGAATTAGACTTTTCTCAGTGGTGGCAGATGACAGAACAAGGAGCAATGGTCTCAAGTTGCCACATGGGAAGTTTAGGTTAGATATTAGGAAAAAAAAACCTCTTTCACTAGGAGGCTAGTAAAACACTGGAACAGGTTACCCAGAGAGGCTGTGGAATCTCCATCCTTGGAGGTTTTTCAGACCCAGGTAGACAAAGCCTTAGTGGGGATGATCTAGTCGGAAATGGTCCTGCTTTAAGCAGGGGGATAGACTAGGTGACCTCCTGAGACCCCTTCCAACCCTAATTTTCTATGATTTCTGCCTTCCTGTCCTGCTACCTGGAACGGCAGGCAACTAAGTTACCAATCTTGAGTCCAAAAGTGCCAACAGGAACATCCATGACAGCCCTCCCTCTCCCTCCAACATGCATCCTGAAAGCTTTCCCCTCGTATCTCTGTAACAGATTTAGGAGCTGTAGTACAGAGAACCAAAGGCCTCAGAATAGCCTCAATGTACTGTAGGGAGTGAACAAGAGATACGAAGAGTAGGACTTATGCCTTGGTCCTTTGCAATGGTAGGAAATTTGTAACCTAAAACATGCCCAGATGATCTTAGTAGTGGTTTGTGTCTTCCTTTGTAGGATAGGGCAACACATCTATTCTGTACCACATCAATTCTGGAATGAAGAGACTCACATACATGGTACATTGAAACGGCCTTCATGGACTTCAGCTAGGATCAATAATTCCCCAATAGGAGCATCACCAGCAACGGATATGGTTGCTGTACTAAGTGATGTAGATCTAGTATGTTTCAGAGTGAGGAGCCCTATACACAGCATGTAAAGACCCTCTCTCATGCAGTAAAATTAAGGACACTAGGGAACAGAAAACCCGCCAAATCCAATAAGGCACATTTCTGCCTAATGCTCCATCCACTGGGGAAAGCTGCGGAGTTCAGGAGAGACAGGATTCATGGGCAAACTCTGCTCCAGTTCCTGTGGACATTGGGGTCTCTAGCATGGAAGACTTGATCCTTCCCATCGTTCTGTAGGCCTTTTTCCCTCCACATGCATCCTTCAGGAAAAATGCTTTCTACCCATACTATGTGTTAATTAGAAGTGTTATCTTCAGCATGGATTTGTGCTCAGGTATCTTCTGGGTCTTACAGAAAGTTTGACACCCACCTGCAACCTCTCCTTCTTCATACTACTAGAAATATGCTTGACTGAATAGACTAGAAAGAGCAGGGTATTGAGGAAGTGGGGCACATAGCATGATGGGGAATGAACACTTTGTACTCAAATTTCTAGGTCATGGAAAAGAGCATATTTGATAACGTTTATTCAGCATTTCTGGATCTCTGCATGAAAGACACTCTTCCTAAAATGTGACTCACAATCATTACCATCCACAGTTCTCCAAAATGATGTGAAATAAAAAAAAATAGCCTCTCCAGCCATCCAAAAATGTGTTCATTTAATATTTAAGCTTTCAAAGTGATTATACAATTGGACAGGGTTGTTCTTTGGCTCCTGGCTCTAGCATCCTGATATAGTGCCATATCCTTTGAAAAAGCGAATCAGATATTCTGATATATAAACCCCAGGCACATCTGACTTTGAATAATATATCAAGCATCTCCGAATAAAATCTCATAATAATTTAATCAACATCCTTGGAGCCTTCATTGTGGAAATCTGCCAAGAGAGACAGGGACAAGGTGGACGCCTCGATATGCCTCTGTGGCCTATGATGTTAAAGCTATGCTGATGTAATGCATTGCTAGTGGGCTTCCCATCTCTGCTAAGGCTGATGACAGCTTAACGAAGAGCAGTGTGAGAAGCAACTGCATGTCCTAGTTAGCAGATCGCTGGATCAAGAATCAGGAAACCTAAGTTTTATTCCCAGCTCAGCTACTGGCCTGCAGAGTACTATTGGGCAATTCATCATGCCTCCATTTCCCATTCTACTCTGTCTATGTATATTGTAAACTGTTTTGAGCAGGGGCTGCCTCTCCCCGTGTTAAAGCATGGAGCATGGGATCTATGGTGTTACTATGATAAAGAACAACATCTAAATATCAAGCGAGCTCCTACTCAGAAAAATGACCATATAAAATGATATTCTCTTTCTCCAGTCTTCGCTATACATTAAATGTATTTGCTAGGTTTAGCACAGCTGCCAAGTCCATCAGCGCTGAGGAACCCAGGTAAATGTCGGCAGGATTCTTTTCTGATGCATTGCAGTTGCCTGGAGGCAAGGAAGAACTCCTTTTAGTGCAAGATGTTCCATGACCTGCAGTCCATGACAGAGCTTTATGAATGACTGAATTTGGGGTTCATTGGCAATTCCCCCAAAAAATCAAAATTATTTCAGGTCAACCCGAGGGAAAGTTTTCAGGAGCTCTCAGCAAGCCATAGTAGCAACAGCAATAGTTTGATCCTAAATTACATGTTTTGTTTCCTTTTCAAACATTTTTAATTTCAATTTTTAAATAAAACTGAAGGAAACTGGAATCATAATTTCAAAGTAAAACCTCAAAATGGCCTGCTTAAAAATATATATTTTTTAAATTATTTAATTTAACCTTTTTTGCTACCTTAAAAATCAGACAAAACTGTGACATGCTGTGGTGTTGCCAAATACACATTTTTCATGGGAAAAATAGTTTTGCCCCATAAAATTCATACAACTCTATTCTGCAGAACTCAGATCATAAAACTCTACTGTTCCATTCAGGTTTTAGAATCAAAAACATTTTAACACAAACTTTAACTGATACATGCATATGTAGCACCACTCTCATCAATTTTTGGCTTCAGTTTAAGCAGGCAACATAGCTTTGGTTTTTCCTCTACCTATACAACATCACCAGACACACGCTGTCCTCCCCAAACAATACTCATGTTCTGATTGTGTACTTAGGAGGAAAAATATTGGCTACTGACCCAGATCTGCTTACCTGGCAATATTTGGAGACAAACTCAACCTACGAAAACTGAGCCTGGCAAGCAGCAAGACAGCCAAGACAGTAAAATATGCATCCTTTGGGAGACAATTATCTTCAAAGGGACCATCTAACAATGGCCATCAGCATATCATTCCATGGTCAATTCCCATCTGAAATATCAAGGACAGGATTTTTTTTTATATAACTCACTCATATTAGCTTGTTTTTATTTATTTATTAATTCAGCAGGCTACAGGTGGCTTTTTAGGAGAAGGAAGCACTATACAGTTTGTGACAGAAAGGATGAAAACCCCCTTGGTCCCTCAAGCAATGTCTCAGTTGTAACAATTTTTCAAATGCCAGCACTGTTGAGGGATGTCCCTTTCATTTTCACTTAAATAAATCCATCCAGCGGTGACATGAAAAGAGCAAACAACAGTTGATGCAGAGCAAATGCATTAGACAAACTCTCTCCCGCACCTACACGTATAAGTACCTTTGGAGACCAGAGGGATTATTCCACAGATGGTAAATTGTCTGACATGTATGCAAGCTGACAAGGGTTTTCAACCTTCAATTATTATACAGAATCATTTTCTATTTAACGCAGGATTTCTGCCCCTGAACTTCACTTTATATTATTATTTGTTGGAGGGCTACTGTCAGCTTCAGGGCAAGAGTACTTCCAAGACTGCAAAGTGCCATTTATAACTGCCTGCATAAAGATTAGGAGATAAAATTAGAATCTAGGGTGACTTAACTTGTTCAGGTAAAGCTGCTAATCAGCCCCAAGACACATACTCCTGGACAAACTGGACGACAGAAAGCATTAACGAGCTTCTCTTCAATCTTAATACTTTGCAATTCTGCTGCAGTCAGTACTGTAAACACCAAGTACACAGATGGCAGAGCATTGGTGTCAGCTGTAAGTACTGCCTCCAAGCTATTTGAAACATTCATCCATGCATTCCTTCTCCATCTCGCCTGGTATAACTCCATAGGTATCTCACTGGTGTTGGGACTCCTGGGGTAAACTGAACCCACTGCAGAAACTTGAACTAAGGTCTCTTATGACTTTGGTTGTCAGTAATGAGTGGTGGTCTATTGTGGGGAGATTTGGGGGTGGGGGAGAGGGGGTACCCTTTTTCCCTAGAAAGGAAAATAAAACTTATTCTGTTTATTGTCACCCTGCCTAGCCTGACACCTTGACTCAGTCATTTGGTCCCTTTTTTCTTTCTACTTGAAGTAGCCACTCTGGCCGACCATATTTTGGAGCTTTACAAAACAAATGGTACTGGCAGCTTCACACAGTGTGTTTGGTTAACAGATAGATTTTATGGTGCTACATAAAACTGATAACGGGTCATAATCTTAGTCAGCACACAAAGTGTATATAACTTCAGCCAAACATTTATGAACACAATCAAAATTAGCCGGAAGAAAGCAGTCTATTTTCTACTTGCCAGTAAATCTCCTCTTTGAACAAGAAATAAATCGCAGCAGTAATGGCACCATATTTATGCCATTTCCATTTAATTCCTCTTCTTCACAAAGGAATATTTTGGTTGTTAAACATAAAATAACATGCTCACAGCAGGTGTTGCTAAATATATAAGTGTGCCCAAACAGCCAAGCTGCCTCTATAGACAGAGAACTGTGCCTCAGCACAAAATGGCAGAATAAAGCTCCACTAGGAACTACATAACAACCAACTGGCGAATAACAACAATAGAAGAGACTAATGCTCATGAAAATGCACTGTCTCACCATCAGCTGTGTGTCATTCTGAGACAATCAAATGGACTGTAAGGGCAATTTCCATCCAAGCTTGCTATAATGGCAGGTTTGCTATTTGAACAACATATCTTATATCAGTTACCATAATCTATTTATTTATAATTGGGGTTATGTTCCATTATTTATAGACCTTGATTAGATTGCACTCATTCTTTTGTCAGCCGATGAACCAGAAACAAGAAGTGCAAAACACAATGGCCTCTGCACAAATGCCTGGAAATGAATGGTATAACCACTAGGCCTGCATGAAGCAGCTAGCATTTGCATCCGATTCAGCTGATTTGGGGGACACTGATTTGATTTAGTGATTCAAATCACTGTCCCAATTCCATTCGGCCTAATATGATTCAGAGATTCAGCTGCTACCGAATCTCCAAATCAGGCAGGCCAGGCCCGTCCCCACCCACTCTCCCAGCCCGGCAATGGCTGCCCCGCCAGCCCCAGCTCTCCGTTTTTGTTTTAAAAAAAAAATAAAAATAAAAAAAAAAGCTCCGACACAGTGGGTGCTGCCAGGCAGGGGGCGATCCCCACTGCCCCACACTATATGGGGGGCTCTGCACAAGCCCCCCAACCCCCTCCTCACTTCCCCAGCCCTTCCAGGTGCCCCATCCAGGCCAGCTCCAGCCCTTTAAGAAAAAAACAAAAAAAACCCATAGTCACCACTCATGCCAGTGGGGGGTGATCCCCGCTGCCCCATACCATGGGGGAGGCTCTTCCACAAAGCCACTGCAGGAGCAGTGAGTCCCGGGGCTTTTCTTGGTTTTTTTCTTTTCTTAAAGAGCCAGAGCAGGCTCAGGTGGGGCACCCACAGGGGGCTCATACAGAGGCCCCCATGCAGTGTGGGACAGTGGGGAGCAGCAATGATTGTTCTCCACCTGGCAGTACCTGCTGAGCACCAGGACTTTTTTTTAAAAGGCTGGGAGCTGGGGCAGGTGGGGACAGCCATGGAGGGGCTAGGGGAGCAGGAGAGGGGGTTGGGGGGCTGGCAGGGATCCCCCCATGTTCCCCTGCCCCAAGTACTTACCACCTCGGAGTCAGCTGCAACCGGAGGGGACTGCCCAAATCATCAAAGCTCTCCAGATCTTTTCCGAAGATTTGGAGAGTTTTGAATCAATTTGGACCTTTAAATTGGTCCCCTGAATCAATTTGGATTCGGAGATTCAGCCACTGAATTAGGTCAAATCTCCTCCAAATCAAATCACCACCCGAAGCTTTACACAGCCCTAATAACCAGGTCTAATTATGAGTTGATTTTACACCTGGTTAAGGGACCAGAGACAAGATTAACATTGCTGAAATCCTAGTTTTCACCACCATAACCTCTTCTAATTGTTACTCAGCACATCTTTTCAGAGCTAAATCTACCTAGAGGGCTCTCTAAATGCACAGTATTTTTGCCCTGCAAGTTTTAGGAGTTTTCCCCCCAGCCTTTTCCATATTAAAATTAATACATCATTTTTGGCTCATTGTCTTGCTTTAATGAGACTATTATTTTGAACAAAGCTGGTCATAAATGAAACAATCACATCCACAAAACAGCTCATTGCTCTTTTGGGATCAAAATGAGCAGCAAGATGAAAGCTCTGTCAGCCTTTAGATGGTGTGGTGCTTAAAAAAAAACAAACAAAAACCCAGGAACAATTTAAACATCTCCTAGAAATGTGATTCTGTATCTAGAAACTACCAAGGGATTGTTCTGCAAACTGCACTTCCAGAGAGCACAGGCTTTCTCTCTTCTACTGCAGAGTGTTAGCAACCAAAAGCAACTGTTATCAGTGACTTATGCTGATGCAAACTTTTCAGATCCACTCATTAATCTAGCATCTGGATGCCTCTTAATCAGAGCTGCAAGGTTACTTTAACACTCCCCATGGCTTATGCTCCTTGGCAAGTCTTGCTAGTTCATGAAACAATTTGTTACTGTCCATGTTTCATGGAGAAAGATGCTGAAAATTGTCACTGATCACACCGTCATTCAGATATAATGCAAAGCACCTGGAACCTACGCATCTAATGTGTTATGGGGATGGTGTTGGTAAGTACTCAACTTCTTCCTAGTCCTGTGCACAGTGTCAAAGGTTATTTAGCAGGCTGTTTGAACCAACACTGGTGGCACTTAAAGTCTTTATAGAGCTTGCATACTAGCAGCTTTTCTTCCAGGCTGGGATTGCAGTGATCTCACTGATAATCTCCTTAGCACAGCAGGTATTAGTCAACCATCTATGTTCATTCTTCCAAAGCTGCCACAGCCTCTGGCATTCTTTCATCACAATGCCTTGCTGACTAGCTCTGAGAGAGCTCCCACACAAGGGTCAAGGTTGTCTCCGGTCACTGTTGCCATATATCAGATGCGTAGAGCTGTTGCAAGAATTAGTGAAAAGGTTTGGGCTCATTTTCCACAGCCTGCCTGATCTGGGATTTATCTAGGAACATGTTGCATAGACTGAAATTTCAACTGGCAGACACAGGAGTCAATTGTTGGCCAGTGGGAGAATCACCTTGGGAAGCTTTCTACCCTTTCTGTGGGTTTAAAGCAAGTGCTTATGACATCAATAAGAATCATTCTATTGACTTAATGGGCTTCAGTACATGTCCTGGAATGCCTATGGCATCTTAATTGCTAGGTAATACAAAGGGGCAGCAGAAACCACAGGATATTCCCGCCTACCTTTTACATCTCATTAGGCAAAGATTTGTGACTTAAGGGTACTTGTGCTCCTAAAACATCTCTGATGCTTTTGAAAGGAGAGCCCTTACTGTTGCAAATTAGTTCACCATAAGCTACTTACTAAGTATTATAAACAAGTCACTTTAAGCGAAAGATCAGCTTTGAGGAAAGCCTACTCACATTCTTTTTTTCCTCTTCAAATACCTCTCATCACAACCTGCACTCCTTCCATTAGACTGAGTTGCGTCTGCTAGCTCCAGTTCTACTCTACAACAATAAAACTTTAACAAACATTTTGACTAATGAAATGAGAAAAAAAAGCTTTAAATGTTTCTGGTGACCAAGAAGAACAGTGTAAATGAGCAATGGGTAAGGCCCATCATATGAAGACTTGAGGTTGTCCTGGTAAAACATGGATTTACAGTTATTTAAAACAGGATGGTGCAAACACACTTTCACCTAAGGCAAAAACCTGAGTGTGGGGAAGCTGAGACAATAATTTAGTGGGAGGAAGAAAGGGGGAGAGGGAGGAGATGATAAAACTCTATTTGTTTAAATTATACACCTATGCCTCAAGTTTATGAAGGCAAGACTTTGGCCAGCCTATGACCTGGGGGATGAGAGATGATCAAAAAGAGCCTTTATCACATCAATCAGGGCTCCTGGACAGAGGTGATATCTTTTATTAGACCAACAAGATTTTTGCACAAAAAAAAAATTAAAAAAAAAAATCTTTAATTGCAAGCTTTCAGGCACAAACACCCTTCATTAGGTATCAGAGAAAAGATTGTAAATGTTATTCTGGTTAGAAATGAAAGTTCATATTTCATAGGATTTCACAGAGGAGTCAAAAATGGGAAAAACCTCTGGGCAGCAGTTCTTAGCTGGTAAGGGGTCTCAGCTCTCCTGTGAGGCTGTGATGATGCAAATTGCCTTAGACAAAGGCAGGAGTGGGATCTCAGGTTTCAGGTGGTCAACCTTGTTTTCACACCATGCATTCTTGGCCAAATCATTCACAGTTGCCATTCTTGAGCTCATCTGAGTGCAAGCAGCTCAGCCCATCCCAAGAGAGAGCCCATCCCAAGAGAGAGGGGAAAGGGTAATGCAACCTGCTAAGGCTCAGGAGAGAATTTCGTGTATGCAAAATACAGTAGAAAGCCCTCTGAGTTCATCTTACTTTAAACCCACCACACAAAATACTTTCTAACACTTGCATTGGTACATTTAGACCAGTGAAACAAAGTAGGCTCAGTACACTTGCAAGAAACTTTGTGACAGGGAGATATTCAATACATGCAACTAGCTCTTTATCCCTATTATCTAATACATTATAGTCTCTTTTCCCAATTAATGTGGATCATTGAGGACCAGGCTCAATGACCCAAAAGGCTCCTTCCACTTCTATGTTTCTTTTAAGTTCTCAGAACACAATGTTAACAGGAAAATTACAGTTATTGTTAGTTAGCTGTGCTATATGCAAGCTGTTGGGGTTTTTTTTTAATAAGTGTTATTCTCTTATACAAGAGGTGTGGTGGCAGAGTAGTGAAGGCGTCTTTCTACCAATCAGAAGGTGGAAGGTCAAGTTTTCTCCAAATTCACACTGAAGGCTGCCATCACCTGTAAATGTGTGCTTGTCTATTATGGCTGGGGAGTGAAGGGTGGATATGGATGACATTAGCTACACTCTCTTGAGTGTTGTAGACTAAGAAACAGGCTTGCCTTAATATTGGCTTGATAGGCCATCTAATATCACATGAGTATTTGATCTTTTGATAAAAAAGTCTTAAGTTTTATCTTAGCAACCCACTTTGTAAGTCAACCCAACTTTGTCCTAAGTCACCTTGCCATACATTCCAATAGGGCTAAGTTAATTTCACCTGAAGATTTTAAGATTTTAAGAAGAGGGACTGGTATATCTGCCCTGTCCACACTGGTACTAGGATACAGAGATGAGATTCCACTATGCTTCCATTACCTTCACCCCCTCCAACCCACAGGTTGGAATAGAGGGTGCAATACCTCCACACTAAAATGTTAAAGCCAGTGGCTGTACCTGATCACAGATCATATCTTATGAGACCTTGGTCCTTTTATCATTCTTTGCAGTGGTCCCATAAACTTGGACTTGTAATTGAAGGTAATCTCTCTCAAACATACACATGCCTATTGCAAGACAGACTCTCTGCTCCATTAAAATCTTTAAATTGTGCAAAGTCTTACATTAGCCCTCTGCAAATGGGTGAATTTCAGCTTGTAGGAGTGAGTCTATTTGGTGCAATTTTCTTATAGCTGCCAAGCTACCGTCTTAAGTGAGCTGAGCCATTAATGTCTTGGTCCTTTGATTTTAGTACTCTGCAATCATAGCAGATGTTTAGAAAATTGTGTTCATAGGATTGGATCCATTGCATCTGCTTCTTCTGGTACACACCGCTTTTCTAGCTCATTGCACTCTCCTTTAAATTAAAAAAAGCAAAAGACAACATATTTGATCTCACGTTTGCTATTAATCAGAAAGTGGAAAAGGGATGTTTACATATTTTTACAGTAGCTTGTTTTTAAACCAGCTTCCAGAGTGCAACATTTGCTAAGGTACTCTTAATGAATATTGCTCATCTCTGTCCCAGACAGCCTTCCAGCTGGCTAGAAGAGTTTTATCATTTCCTTTTAACGAGCTGAAAACATGTAATTAAGTAATGGTTAGAAGATGGCACTTTATCATGGATTTATTCTAATGGGAGTAACAATAGACTAGGACAGGGGATGGCAACCTACAGAGCACAGGTTGGATATGGCCTATGGAGCCATTTCTTCTGGCCCGTGACCTTGGGGCTGCTGTGCTGTGTTGGCAGTGGGGGCTTCCCCTGTGTGACGACCAGGCACGAGGGAGAAGGGGCAGCCAGTTCAGAAGGGCCAGCTCACCTCAGACTGAGCTGGATAATTTTAGCTCCCCACTCCTGAAGCATTGCTGGCTTCTGGACACAGGGGACCTGACCCAGTGTGTCACCTTGCACTAGTAACTGCAATGCACTGCAATGCTTTGCACCTCAGCCCCATACCCTTTCTCCCCCATCTATAAAATG